TGAAAAAAAAATAAAGCGATAAAACAATTGCAATTTTTAGGACTAAACCTTTTCGCTATTTGCGCGATACTACGTTGTTCTTTCGCTTCAAGTCTAACGATTATCGAACGCGAAGATGCCGAAGAATGTATTAAATATGAGGGTTCTGTTCTATCTGTGGAACACGCTCGGATCGCATAACTTTGACAAGTTGCATTTACAACACTGTGTTAGTGCTATAAAACGAAACAATGCATGTTTACTTCTTGTGCTAAATAAAACGATGCGATTCACTTGCAAGCAACAGCGAGAACCTATTTCACACATTGCGCAGATTATTATGAAAATTAATTTTCAATTATCATGAAAATTAATTTTTCTGTCTCGGTAACAAAAGTTTTATTTGTGTTGCCAACAAAAGCTGATCCTGAAGCTATAAGTGATATATCATCTGACTGGAATGCTTAATAAATGAAAGGTATTTAAATATATTTCGTTAGAAAATATTATTTATTTATTTCTGGCGTTCAGTTTAAAATTACAATTTAAAGTAAAATGTCATAACATTCAAGTGAAATACAAAAGAAATATGATACAAGTGACGACAATCTTTTAATCGGAGAAAAATATAACAAACTAGATCTTAGAACATAAAGATCTGCGAATTTAGGTCTTGTAGAAAATGCCCATTTCATATCACTAAATAATAAGAAAATGTACGAGTTTTATTAATGGTAAAAATTTACTCAGTACAATACTTTAGAAAGACTAATGGAAATTTTACGTTTAAATAAAAATAAAAAGATAAATGTGCACAATCACATAAATAAGCGTTTTCGATTTGTACATATATGTAATATATTCAATCAGTCGCAGAAATCTACATACATCTATCCAAATGTTTAAAGAGCATTTTTGAATTTAAAAATTACAAATAATTTTATTGTAAAGGGACCATTAAGTTTTTTGATTAATTTAAGATCTAATTTAGTTGTAAATATTTGAAATTTGTCAGATATATGTACACATGTAAACTTCTGTGGCTGACTATATTTAGACAGATAGAAATACAAATTTGAAACATAATATTGTCAATTAGAAATGTTTTTAATGGGAAAAGATGTAATAAATATATAATAAGATATATAAAATATTTTATTATATATTATATGTGTGTTATATTAAATATATAATAAAATTATATAATATGTATAATATATATTATTGTATATTAATTATAATATTAAAAATATAGCTATATAAAAGAATTTTTACAAATACAATAACAATTTATTTGAATATATAATATCTATTCTTCTTAAAGATTCTTCATCATGAACGCAGTATGTAATTTTGTTTTGTTTGAAACATTAAAATATAATATAAATAAATGAATTTTACACTGACCTTTTCACACTAATCTAACACGTTTTTCGCGCCGTTAATTGTTAAGGAATGAAATTAATATAATTTACAATTATAAGTGAACGATCGACAATTTAATTAATCTAATCATCAATTTCATTAATCAGCGAAATCAACATATATATATATATATATATATATATATATATA